AACCGGGGATTGAACTCAGACCCTTGTGCTTGCCAAAGAAGTGCTTATTCCACTGAGCCATCTCCCCGGCCCCATAGACACCAATATTTTCACCTTAGCTGTTTACTTGCTTCCAAAACCTAACAGACGACATCAAAAGTAAAAGCCCTTGTGAACTATAAACAGAAACAAAAATCTAGCACAGAAATCTTTGCCTCAACCGTCACACCTAAGACAGTCCACACATCACAACTGTACGTTCCACACACGAATATCATTTATACTGATCACACATGTTTTGTTTTCCTGTCTTTTCTTAGAGGGTACAGTTGTCACCATTTTGTGCTCCTCTTGGTGTAGTAGGTCTTTGTGATGCTGTACCTGTCTATTCACCTGTTAGCGCACTAGTGCGCTGCACAGATTTTTGCATAGTTCCTGGGCAGAAATGTTTTGGTTTTCTTGTGCTATAAATGATTTAGGAGCTCCAGTCCCAATCCTCAAAGAAAATTTCTCAGTGATACTTTATGCTTGTTATTTTCTTTGTAGACTATCAAACTATCCCACACAGGATCAAGTAAAACACAACCATTGGTCAGTGCTTTGTGTTTCAAGTGATATCAGTTGCTGTATAACTCATCAAAAACATCTACTCCACCTTTGGTTTCGTTGTAGAAAGTTTGCATCACAGGCTTCCATTTTGTCCAGGCTTCCCTGTCAGGATGCCCGTCATGGTGAAATGTTGACATCAGCAGTACCAGTTTGTTTTTCTTTGAAGCATACAAGGTCAGCGAGGTATCTTTCTAACATCTAAAGATTGTACTGTACAATTTTCTGTTTTGAAATTACAGTGTTTCTTTTGGAATTTCTGTTTTGCTCCTGTGTACAGTGCCTGCACTGGTCAACTTGTGTCTGTTACCAAATGTAACATCAACTGGAAATCAGTAAATTGTGGTCAGATGTCACATTCCAATTAGTTTGGGAGATGGGAGCAACAAGTCTGTTCACAACATCAGTTTGTTACTGTATGAATAGGGACCGATAGTTGAGTTCCAGGTTAAATGTCTAAATTTAAAGCCCAGTGAGTCTTCATATCTATAAGGGCACAAACTTTTATGCCATTTTGATGCATAGCTTTTCCATAAGTGTTTTACATTCCTGTGCTTACCATTATAAATCCCTGCTAAGTACAGCAGACTTCAAGTTAAGCTAATGAGGTATCATAATGCAATTTTTTAATGTGGCTACTGGTGCACACAGAACATTTTACTTGCATTTTGTAGATTTCAGAGCACCTTGTAGCATTTTATCTGTGACAG